AGGGAAGGCCACAATCCTTGCCATAGGCAAAGCCTTCCCTAGCCAAATCATCCCTCAGGAGTGTTTGGTGGAGGGCTACATCCGCGACACTAAGTGTGATGATGCTTATATTAAGGAGAAATTGGAGCGTCTTTGTAAGTGCAATATTAGTTATTTGCTTACTATTTTCAGCTAAAATATATTAACCCTTCTACCTTTCTCCCAAGTGACTAATAAAATTGGTCCCATTCAATCAATTTTTTTTTCATGTATAACCACAATAGCAAAATTGGAAAATAATGTGCACACTAGCTACCCAAATTAGTATTTTATCAATGTATTATACTAGTGAAAGAAAAACCAAAGTGTGGGTCACAACAAGAACTACACCCACAAAAGATCTTGGGGATATTTGTTGTTACTGCCCATATTGGAAGTGTTTGAAATTATGACTGTCACTTGACAATCACTTGTGCAATCACATATGCAACATGTATTAAAACTATTAGTAATCTAAACTGCAATATTTTTTCCTTGATTTGCCATTTTCCAGGTAAAAACACCACTGTGAAGACAAGGTACACAGTGATGTCAAAGGAGATCCTGGACAAGTACCCAGAGTTGGCCACAGAGGGCTCCCCAACCATAAAGCAGAAGCTTGAAATAGCCAATCCTGCAGTGGTAGAGATGGCTACCAAGGCTAGCCTCTGCTGCATCAAGGAATGGGGAAGGCCTGCCCAGGACATCACCCACATTGTCTACGTTTCCTCAAGTGAAATAAGGCTACCAGGTGGTGACCTTTACTTGGCAAATGAGCTTGGCCTCCGGAGCGACGTTGGCCGCGTAATGCTCTACTTTCTAGGTTGCTATGGTGGTGTCACTGGCCTGAGAGTTGCCAAGGACATAGCAGAGAACAATCCTGGTAGCAGGGTTCTGGTGACTACCTCTGAGACCACCATTCTGGGGTTTAGACCCCCAAACAAGGCGAGACCTTATGATCTTGTGGGGGCTGCACTTTTTGGTGATGGGGCTGCAGCTGTCATAGTTGGAGCCAACCCTGCGGTGGGTCAAGAGTCTCCCTTCATGGAGTTGAGCTATGCTGTCCAAAAGTTCCTGCCTGAGACACACAGTGTGATTGATGGGAGACTCTCTGAAGAAGGCATAAACTTCAAACTTGGAAGAGATCTCCCTCAGAAAATTCAAGACAACATAGAGGAGTTCTGCAGGAAGCTCATGGCCAAAAGCAGTGCCAAGGACTTCAATGATTTGTTCTGGGCTGTTCACCCTGGTGGGCCTGCAATCCTCAATAAGCTTGAGAGTACCCTCAAATTGAGCACTGACAAGTTAGAGTGTAGTAGGAAGGCACTAATGGACTATGGCAATGTTAGCAGCAACACCATATTCTATGTCATGGAGTACATGAGGGAGTATCTCAAAGATGATGGAGAAGAATGGGGCTTGGGATTGGCATTTGGTCCAGGAATTACTTTTGAAGGCATTCTCCTGCGCAGCCTGTAATCTTAACCATGAATTTGTCTTCACATTAAGGGTGTACTCAATAGTCAATGCTGTTCTTTTTTCAGTGGTTCAGAATTAAAATTAAAATCTCCAATAAAGTTTGATGAAGCAAAATACTGTCTGAATATCAATAGAAAGAAATTTATTATGCCACTTTAAGTTCCCTACTCTTATTGTCTTTTCTTTTTCTATTCCTCTTATACAAGAAGATATGTGCAGAAAATTGCATCTTCTTTTAGACTTGTCATTATGACTTCTTGAACTTACTGCACTTCTATAATTTGTCCCATAAATATACATACATCAATTTTAATATAAAATAAAATGTTTCAAAAAGTTGGTTACATTCAAACTTAGAATATGGTTTTTTATGTGACGAAAATTGTCTATAAGTAAATCTATATTAAACCTTTTCAACTATTTTTTTTTAATATATATCATTGGACTAGCACTCTACAATTTGTCTTCAAGTTGTGAAGTATATACTTGATTATATCAATTGCTAGAAAAATAAAAATTATTTTGTAGTAATTGTGAAAATAAAAGTAATTACCTTATACATAAACTTGTCTGTTTTTATAACCAATTACATAAATAAGTTGTCTCACATTAGTAAAGGTATCCGGTTTCATTTTTAGTTGAGTCATCTAATTGTTAGCCAAGTTTTATGGGTAAAACTTTGTTACTAATTTTCAACATTCCAATTCTGGATAATTAAAGGGTTGAAATAAAAATAAAAATGGAGTATTTATTTAATTTGAGAAAATTAAAAAAGGAAAAGATATTTTTACTTTAAAATAAAATATTTATTAATAAAATAAAAAATATAATCTCACTTCAATTTTTAATTTTCTCTCCCTCTCATGAGTCACTAGTCACGCTCTATTTATGTAACTCAACTCCTCTTCCCACTTTCTTTAAATATTTGCTCTTTTTTTTTTTTCAATTTTTTCACATTTACATTCCCATTTTTCTTATCTACCCTCTTTATATAAGGGGTTATGAAAGGAATATCAGAACACACACAAAAAAAAAAAAAATAAGATGAGATAGTTTCATAAATTTTGAGGAGTGACGTCAAGAAAAAAAAAATGAAGGGATCAATGTATTTTTCTTTTTTGTTTCTCATAAACCTTTTTATATTTTTATTTTTTAATTAAATAAATTTTGAAATATGAGTATAGTTATTAGCGTCGTCATGTATCTTGTTTATTATAAAATTAGTTTTATAAATACAATAAAATGAGTGATTCGAGATATATGTATGGTCGTTTGCATCATTTTATTATCATTTAATAATTTTTCTTGTAACAAGTGTATTAGTATGGTTATTTGCATTGTCTTTATAGCTCTTTTAAAAAAAAAAATATATATATATATATATATATATATTTATTTTTTTAAAACATATAAAAAATATTAAAATATTAATTGAACATGTAAACTTTTTTCAAAAAGAACATAATTTTGATTTGTCAATCTTTATCAGGTCTAAATAAATAATTTTAAATTTTTTTTATTTGATGTCAAGAGAAAAACAAATATATTAAAAATTATATTTATTTTACATAATTAACTAAAGATAACTATTTTAAAACGAATATTACAAAATGATAATAAATTATTTATTATAGACTTCAAAGACCATTTTTCGAAAAATAAAATTCTATAATTTTTCTTAAAAAATTATAATGGTGAATACCTATTTTAAAATTTATTTTTTTATGTCCGTTCTAACGATCCAATTTAACACTAATTAAGGATTAAATAAGTTTTTTATACCTAAAATTATTTTATATTAAAAATTATAGTTAGAAAATCTAATATATTTAATGAATATGTTAATTTGAACAATAACATTATTATTTCTTAATTAACAATGTTGGCATACTTATTTTAACAACGTCACACTTTTATAAATATCTAATATAACCATATTTATCGTTATCAAAATGGATGATTAGTCTAGTTTGACCTAACTTTATTGTAAAATAAAAAAATTAATAACAATCTACATTTTAAAACGAATTATAATTTTTAATCTAGTTTAACCCTAGGTTAGATTAACAACTGAAAGATTAATTTTAGTTTGATTAAAAATTTAATAAATTATTTCAATTAAAAATATTTTTTTAGAATTTAACTTTTATTAATAAAATGAATTTTTATTAATAATTTATTATATAAATTACAAGAAAATATATATTTAATATTAAAATAATAATTAAAAATTTATTTTTTTATTATTATTATTTATTTTTTAATAATTTATTGATTTAAAGTAATAATTAATCTTATTAGATATTAAAATAAATGATTGTTAAAAACTTATTTTAATATTTATTTTTAAATCTCTTATTAAGTTAATTTATAATATATAATATTTTAATAAAATAATATTATTTTAATTTATATTTTAAAAATAATTTATATTTTATAAAATGGATCATTATAAATTTATGTCCTAATATAATCTAAACAAATATAAATCATGATTAAAAGGACTGAGGTAAAATAAATTTAATTTAATTTAGGTAAATTATTTTTTCCATAATTTGATTTATATTTTAGGTCTTTTTGACATTCAATTTTTACATCTTAATGAAAATATCAAGTCAAACTTGATAAAGTTATAGTAAGTCTAAAGTGACAGTTTATTAAATGTTGGATATAAAAAAAATTAAGAAATTTGGAGGTGCTAATTTCAATGATTTATTTTGATGATGATAAAAGCGTTTTTAAAATAATAAATTATTTTTTAAATAGAATGCTGGTATATATATATAAAAGGTTTAAAATATTTTTTTATGATTGAATATATAAGATTAAAAGTGACATATCTTTTATGATATAAATGATATCTATTTGTCTCAACTACTTACATACCTTAGGAACACAATTTAAAAAAAATATAAAAATTAAATACGTTAAATTTAATTATCATTTTTTCAATTATTTTCTATTTCTGTATAAGGAATGACAAATCTTACATTTTATTATATTTAAAACTATTTTAATTTTTATATAAATCAACTTAATGGAATTTATCATATTTATTTATTTATTTTATTTTGTACTTATCGAAAATACTTTAAGATATAATAGTATAATCTATATTGTTAAAAAATATAATAATTAAAATTGTGCAACATTAAAGGTTGTAAGATAAGATTTAAAGTATTATTTGTTTAAAATTGGAATTTAATCTAATATAATTTTATTTTTAAAAAACTATGGATTGAAGAAAAAAATAATTATAAATTATTTTTATTTTTTATTTATGAGATTTTAAAATATAATAAAACAATGAATAAAATAATTTTTATCCTAGGTACACAATTTTTTACTATTTAACTATTTTTTAATCTGATTTGATTAATGAACGACTACGTTCTTTCAACAGTATAATATATTTTCAAAAAAGAGCCTTTTCATTCTCTCGCAACTTCCTTACTTAAAAAAAAAAAAAAAAAAGCTTCCCAGACTATACGCTCGTTGACGCTATGAATCTTAGCTATGAACAGAGACTTCAAGTTGTTGCCAAAATCATATTAGACGACGAGGCACGCGCCGGCGACGCGCTGCCATGTGAGGAAGAACTTGGGCTCAGGGCGACCCTCAAACCGCACCAGGTGGAGGGGGTTTCCTGGCTAATACGGAGGTACAAACTCGGCGTCAACGTTGTCCTCGGTGAGACTTTAACCCTCTTCCAATGTGTTTCGTTGATCTCAATGTTTCGTTACAGAAAGAGTTAACTTCCTCTGCCATAGAGTAATTCTCCTACAGAATTACAATAACACTCTGCCCATACAGAAACATTAACAAGATATATGTGACACTTATAGGGATTAAATTTAACTTTATGATATATAACTATAAAAAAATATGAAAAATAAGTAAAAATATATATTTGGTTTAAAGGTGTATTTTATCACTCCAAAATATTGTAACAATCAAGGCTAGCAATACATTCTTTAAACTATATTATTGGGTGAATTTTGTGTGGTCTCATCAGTCTCTCTATGGGAACTAATATGAAATAGCCCTCATAATAGAGATTATTAAAAAAATTGTGCTGCTAATATGTAGTACGAGATAACACCAGTCGTCATTTTACTCCCACTTTTTTAAATACATCAAATTGGTCTTTTAATTTCCATTTATAATATCTATTTGTAACTAATGACATTATCCTTGAAGGACCAAGTTTAATGTTTCTTATAATGTAGGATTATAGGTAATGTAATGTAATGTGGATTATGGAATATTTTTTGAAGGGCTAAAACAGATAATTACTTTGAAACTGTAGGCTTTTGTTTATTCAATTAATTTAAGAGTTTGAGTGCTAACCATATGATATTATCAGGGTTTGGTAAGTAGGAACATTTTTCCATGCAATGTCAATCGAATATATTGATGTTTGCGTTTGATAGTATTTGTGAAGCAACAATCTTTGTATTAGGCTATGACAAGAAATTTTCTTTTGCAGGGGATGAGGTATACCTTCTTCTGTGTCAGAGCTGAAAGGGAAAATTTTGTAATCTAATTGGTATTATAGTAATTAAACTGGTTACTTTGTCAATTTTTTTTTGCATTATTGTCATTTTCTTGTGTCAAATCAGCATATTATACCAGCAAAGGGCTGACTATTTAATGTTCATTAGATATCATATGCTTCTTGAAATTGCCGTTTACTTAACTGTTTCAGTATTTCTAATGAACTAATTGGAGTGAATTCAGTCCTGTCATGTAAACATCTATTGTCTTTGTTGCTTTGTGAGCTGCATTGTTATTTATCATAATTGTTTCATATCTTGTTTGTTGACATATTAAGAGCTGCATCATCCCAAAAATGGTTAACTGCTAAGCAGTGTGCATGCCTCTGAATATCCTTGAGTCTTGTTTTTCCCTAATTTAGCATATGTAGGGCTGAATACAAGGTTCACAGTACTGTCACTGGAATACAAAATCAAAATATGATTCTAGTTTTATTATTTTGATGTGTTTGTTATGGATATGGACAGATGGGACTTGGCAAGACTTTGCAAGCTATCTCCTTTTTAAGCTATTTAAAAGTATGCCGTTTGTCTACTGGGCCATTTTGTGAGTGAAAGAATCTTTGTTTGAGTTGAAATTTTTTATTTTTTATCTTGTGATCCGTGTTCTGATAAGTAGTTAACTCTCTTATGCTTTTATTTTATTTTCAGTGGTTATATGTCCTCTAAGTGTGACAGATGGTTGGGTGTCAGAGATAGTCAAATTTACTCCTAAACTAGAACTCTTCAAATATGTTGGTGATAAAGAAAATAGGCGCAATCTACGCACGAAAATACATGAATATGTAACAAGGCTGTCATCAGCAATGAATGTTAGTATATTATACTTTCATATATGCTCTTTGAATCTGGAATTCTGGTTTGTTTTTATTAAAATGCAACATTTCTGTGACCAAATTGGTAAGGAAGTTGTAACATGGGAAAGTCACAGAAAATACAACTTATTTGTATAACATAGTGATACTACGAATTGTAGAAGTAGGATCTTTGGCAAACAATAAGCACTTAAATAATACAATTTGAGTGTACTATCTTTCTCATTTTGAGGAGAAAGCCTTCGAGGAAAAGAAAATAACTAATTGATCTGAATCGGACCTAAATGGACATGATTTTTTTTTTTTCAAAACCTAGTTTTAAGTGTTAAATTGTCAACTAATTTTTATTTGTTGGAACTTTTGACAGGTCTTGTTGCCTTTTGATGTGCTATTAACGTCATATGACATTGCACTGATGGATCAGGATTTTCTTTCTCAAATTCCATGGCAGTATGCAATCATTGATGAAGCTCAGAGGCTTAAGAATCCATCTAGTGTATGTTGAAAACACTATTCTTCAGCATAGTAGTATTCAATTAGTAGTATGCCCTTTGTTTAGTAGTATTCAATTAAAAATATGCTTCAGCATATTGAACTTGTTTAATTATGTTAATTTCAGTGAAGTGGTAGTTATTACATATGGTATGAAATTATCAGGGTGGATGGTTTGGGTCCCTAAACAAATCTAAGTGCAGCACATAGAAGCAGGCCGTAGAATAGGGCCAGGTAGTAGCCAAATAATGGGAATCTACTGATAAAAAAAATTCAAACCACATAATGAAAGGAACTCACAGTAAAAACCTCTTACAAAATGTGAACAAATTGGTTCTGTTGAAAAAATATCCTTTTTGTCTTCGTTGCAACATTCTCACAATTATATACATCTTCTAGGAGGAAATTTTCGAGTTATTAACTGACCCTCTAAATTTGCTTGATGAAATGAAGTAACAAAATCATGATAAACAAGGAATCTGTTAGTGGCTGTCCTTGGTAGGTTGCTATTTCTGTTAGTGTAGAAGGACAAAATAAATAAAACCTCTGCTGTATGTAGTAGGTACTTTTAGAAAGACAAAAAAAAAAAGTCAATCCTGGGTATTACTAGTGTGAAATGGAGAGTGTGGGGCAATTTTGTTTACCCTGTTACAGTTGTACTTTCAAAAGGTTAATGAAATATTGTAGAGGTATTTTTCAGTATCTTGGTTACTACTGCCTAGGTGAATTGGTCAAGATTTTCATATTAACTAGTGACAATAAGGGAGTTCTTAACAGAATCAATATGCTAGAAAGTGGGAAAGATTCTAACTTGGATAAATATGCAATCCACGTAAGCCCTTCCTAAGTCAAATATGGATGGATTTAGGACATATCTATCAAACAATAGGTTGTGTAGGTACTGCCAAATTAGGTTGGTTTGGCATGAAACTGTGGGAAATTGTGTAGGTTGACCAAAATAATTTTCCTATTGCTTGGAGATGGGGTATAAGAATGAAAGAGTTGAGACAAGTATCTCCTAATCCTAATCCTTTAATTTTAGGGATTTCTTACAAACAAATCTATATTTATTATACATTAAATATGCAATATTTACACCCATATTTCAACAGAAACCACACAGGATGGGCTGATTTGCGGGAGAGGTTGATGGGTTGCTTGCTGCTAGAAATGTCACTTAAGAAGTCATGAGGTGGTGGAGGGAGGGGTGATGAAAATATGAAATGGTTGAGAGACAAACTAACCTAAGGATACTGGAGAAGATAGCGACAGTGACAGGTGGAAAAGACCACTGACAAATAGAGAAATGTCATAAACACTGGTGAGATAGAGCATGTTAGGGAACCGGACAGCAGTGTAGTGACAGGACAAGACACTAAGGATGACACTGAACAAGTAATATGTTGAAATTTTAAGAAGAAGGTCAGTTAAACAGACCTGAGTAAGACTTGTGATGACTTGATACTAAATATAAGGTAATTTATATGATTAACAAATCATGAAATATATAATCCAATCCTAAGTGATCATATAGGATACAATAATTATGTTATGCGATATTTTTCATATATTCTAATATAATATTATTTGTGTTTCTATTAAGTGAGACCAGACAAACTTTGTCTATATGTGATACAGTTTATCTTTTGGGATTTGTATAATATGAAAATGTGATAAAACTGACGTAAAATATAGAAAAATGATCTTAATTTGTTATATCCATTTCATGTCATTAGTTCCTTAGGCTCAAAACATGTTAGCCATAATTTTCAGAGAGTTTAATGGTGAAAACTTGAACAATTTAATCTTCATTCCTTCAGATTGTTGGTACTTGTTAAAATTCTGAAACTATAACAGGTTTTGTTTAATGTTCTCAAAGACCGCTACATAATGCCACGAAGGTTGTTGATGACTGGCACGCCTATTCAAAACAATCTTTCTGAACTGTGGGCGTTGATGTATTTTTGCATGCCTTCTGTCTTTGGTACACTGGATCAGTTCCTTTCTACGTTTAAGGAAATCAGTGGTCTTGCATCAGGTCATTTCTATTTAATTTAGCATTCTATTGGGATATTTTGGTTCTTCTAGAAGTTTGCTTTACAATTATAGAATCTAAGTGCGCTTTAGTTTAACTTGATACATGTTAGTGTATAACTTCATCTATTAGATAAAAGGTTATGTGGTTACAACCTTCATTATATGTTACAACTATCACTATCAGGTTGTTATAAGTGATCCAGTCTTTACAATTATAGAATCTAAGTGCTCTTTAGTTTAACTTGATACATGTTAGTGTATAACTTCATCTATTAGATAAAAAGTTGTGGTTACAACCATCATTATATGTTACAACTATCACTATCAGGTTGTTATAAGTGATCCAGTCTGTTAGATGGCTTTTGTTGTCTATATATAGCTGTTGTAAACAGAAGTTCACTTTAGAAATCTCAGAATAATCAAGATCTTTTTGATACATTGCATGGTTTCCGAAATCCATCCTCCTTCCCTACCTCATGAAGCATTGATTCATGTACACCTCTACAGTTGCATCTTTGTCAGCTCCAACGACATTTTCACGTCAGGTTAGCAAAAAACTAGATGAGAAAATTTCTCTCTCTGGTGTTAGCAAATTGAGCCTGCTATCAAGGCTCATCACCTTCATTGCTATGTTGTTTCTCCTTGGATTTCTCTTTGATTTAATACCTAGGATGATCATGATCTCCCGCTTTGCCATTACCTTGCTGTCGTGGCCAGCAAAAATTTTGATACCTATTTTTGGCATGGTGTTGCCATGGCTGTTATTCAATAAATTGATAATTAATTTGTAGATGTTTGCAATGAATTGGTTTTTGATGTTGATCCGATTCTTAATCAAGGAATTTTGTTTATAAATCTTTAGGCATTGGAAAACCAAGAGTTTATATAAGGAGAAAAGCAATAAATAAAAGAAAATAACCATTAAGTGGTGGCATTGTTAATGGATCTTCCCATGCTTCCAATAAAGGTCTTCATGCAACTTTTGCCTCAACCAAAAGTAGGGGTAAACAAAAGATTCAATTTGGAGTTAATTGAAATTTGATACCTCTAAAAGAGTTTGATGAAACTGAAGGATTACTTAACTTTGACAAGTCTTGTGAGAAGGAGATTAAGAGGAGGGATATGTCACATTGGATAACATTGATGATAATTTGTTGGGATTGAGGATGAGATTGTTAGAAAGTTAGGACATTTGTGTAATGTTTTGTCCTTAGTTTGTGTGTTGAACTTGAATGTATTTTGCTTTGATAATTATTTAAATTTCTAGACATACTATTATTATTAATTATATGGTTGTCTTTCATTGTTTTTGCATTAAAATTATATTTGAATTGTATTTATTTATTATATTTATTTTTATCTGCGATGCTTCCGGCATAACCCTTTATGGGTTGCAATATTTTTTTGTAAAAGATTTGTAGGCTGTCTATATTTTTTGTTCAATATCAATAACACTAGTGTGTAACTCCTTTTATCAGATAGTTATTTATTGAGTTATAACCATCATCATATGTTGTATGAATAGTTCGTGACAACCGTCATTGTTAGGTTGTTAATACTGAACTAGTCTGTTAGTTGAGGTTCTGTAGTTTATAAATAGTTGTTGTAAATAGTATCTCATCACATTTACTAAACATAGAATAATCAATACATAGTTTATTTTCTGCTAAGTTTATTTTTTTTCAATAATCCATAACTAATGATATAAACTGTTTAGTATTTTTCAACTTACCTTGCTAGATTCTTCCGTTCTTGTTGAAAAAACGTTAGAAGTACCTAACATAAGGTAGAAAGTTTAGGGTTGAGGGTTAAATTCTTAAATTCTCGATGTGTAGCATATGATGATGCAAAAGTGTAAATTTTAAAAAAGAATGAAATTATCATAATTTATGCTATTCTAATTGTTGCAATTCTGTTTCTAAACAGTTCATGTTGCTCCAAAGGTAGAGGAGAGGCTTAAAATTTTAAGAAGTGTATTGGGAGCCTTTATGCTTCGACGCACCAAGTCAAGGCTTATCAAGTGTGGAAATTTGGTTCTACCACCTCTCACTGAAACAACTGTGTAAGTGGTATCTTGTTTACTTTGAACATTTTTATCCAAATATGAGCTGTAACTAAGAAGTTGTTATTTTAAATATTAAAATTCTATCAAACAGGTTAGTTCCCCTTGTGATCCTGCAGAAAAAGGTCTATATGTCAATATTGAGGAAGGAACTTCATAAGCTACTTGCTTTATCCTCTGGAACTTCAAATCACCAGTCACTACAGAATATTGTTAGTGAAGCTTGTTTTGAACATTTTATAGCATTTTTTTAACTGTTTTCTTGTTCCGTTATTTTTTGAGTTAGATGCTATGTAGTGATTTCATATACAATACTACGTTTCAAATTTTGTGTTATTTTTGAAGAAAGTGTTAATGGAAAAAAGATAAGAAAACATTGAAGAAGAGCAAACTATATTTCTATTTCTTAATTCAAATAGTACAACAATGTTCTATACACAAGGAACTTTGGAGAACTCTACTACACTAGTAATAATTACTATTAAAAAGTGAATTAGTCTAACTCAACTTTATAAAATCAGGCTTGTAAGGTGAGATTTGCACTCCATTTATATATTACAATTTAGTCATATCTTTAATTTATGAGATTTTAACATACCTACTCACATCAAGGATATGGATGAACAAAGTAGGTGCACTTTAGGCATCCCAAATTTCAAAACCATATTCCGCAACTAAGGTAACTAGGGTTTGAATGTGGAAGCAAACCTCCCAAAATCAGGAGCTTTGATACGAACTAGAAAAAGATAGGAGCAATAGTAAAGAAAAGTAAATTGTGGTTTTATTTCTTGATTGATATAGTACAAATATTTTCTACATATAGAAAACTCTACTAACCTAGTAATAGTTACAATAATTAATAATGGCTCTTCGTATCCCTACAATATCATTACAATCATTGACAATATTTCTTGTAAATCAAGAAAATATTGTAATTCAACATGCTATGTTTCAATTTTTAAAACAGTTTATAAAATCAAGGAAGTATTAATTATTTTTTCTCAACTTTATCCTTGTCTTGTAATTTTCATGAAATGGAAGGAGAGACAATTAGTTAGGTGATAATCTTTTGTATTCAAAGATAATTTGGTCAAATGCAAATCTAGGCTATACAGTAGTTTACTTAGAAAAATGCAAATCATCAGTACCATCTGTAATGTATGGTATACTTTTGTACAATATTTTGCTCCTTCCATTCTCATTAATGGCAAATGTGATTAACATCTATAGGTGATACAACTAAGAAAAGCATGCAGCCATCCATATCTCTTTCCGTGTATTGAGCCTGAACCTTATGAAGAAGGTGAACATCTGGTTCAGGTAACTAACACTCTTATTTTTATACATGATAACATGGGGGACTTATCCTACTGAGTTTTTAAGTCATTTTGGTTGCTGTCAGATTACTTTTATTTCCGTTTGTTCTTGAACTCTAATAGTTAATGCTGCATTTCCCCACTTTGAAGGGAAATTAGAATAAACAGATAAATATATTTTGAAAGTCTGTGTTAGCCTTGTCCAATTTGCCACCTCACATCATCTGGACCGAGTTTCACTTCAACATTCTTTGGTCTCGCCTCTCTAGCTCTCTTTGAAGCTCTTGTGTTTCAACAAGCATAACCTGCCAAATTATACTATCTTATCTGTATACTAGGTCAAAGGGCAGGAACTAAAACATTGATTTTCTTTTTCTAAGTTATAGCTATTTATACAACCTCAGGATTTTATTCATAATATACACTTAACTCGTGCACTGTAATTCATGTTTCCCACAATTTTTCTGTTCTATCAGGCCAGTGGTAAACTACTTATTCTGGACCAACTTCTTCAGAAGTTACATTATTCTGGACACCGTGTTCTTCTTTTTGCTCAGATGACCCATACACTGGACATTTTGCAAGTAAGATTTTTCTACCTGTGTTAAGTGCCTACATTAGTTAAGGGACTATAGTGATGAAATACTTTTTTATTCTAATATAGGATTTTCTGGAGTTGCGAAAGTATTCTTATGAGCGACTTGATGGATCAGTTAGGGCTGAGGAGCGCTTTGCTGCTATAAGAAGTTTCAGTAGCTCATCTACTAATACAGACTTGACTTCTGAAGTTGAACAAAATGGAGCATTTGTGTTTATGATCTCAACAAGAGCAGGGGGAGTTGGTTTGAATCTTGTGGCTGCTGATACTGTGAGTTCTTACAATTCAACCTTTTTCAGATTGGAACCTCACTAATTTATTTTCGTGTTCTCTCAAAAAAACATAAAATTGTATATATAAAATGATGGTTGTTTCTATGGTTTCCATTGTTCAGTTGACGTCAATCTCTGATTGCATTCTTATTTTGCATCTAAATTTGGAAATATAAGTAGTTAGTCAACAGTCCACGAACTACCGAACTGACATACAATACTAATTGAATTATCTACAAGACTACAACAAATAGGACTCCCGTTTCTTTAATTTGTTGGTTTAAGCATCATAAGTTTAAGTTATCACTTGCATGTTTAATTAAACATATTTGACAATTTACTATTGGATGTCATTCTCTAGGTTATATTCTATGAGCAAGATTGGAATCCTCAGGTGGACAAGCAAGCTTTGCAGAGAGCACATAGAATTGGCCAGATGAACCATGTGTTGTGTATAAATCTTGTTACAGAGCAGACAGTGGAGGAAGTATGTTTCTCTGTTTGTTATAAGGTTTTTACTCTGTGATATTGGACGTATTTATATAGACTCTAGAATTCATGTTATACTGTAGGTAATTATGCGAAGGGCAGAGAGAAAATTGCTTCTGAGCATCAATGTTATCGGTGATAACATTCTCAAACATGAAGATAAAGAACTATCTGAAGTTGGAACTGGTGCTTTGAAATCCATCATATTTGGGTTACATATGTTTGATCCTACTGAGATCACTGATGGAAATCATGGGGATATGAACTTTCCAGAAATTAGTGTTATGGCTGACAGGGTGCTTGCCTTGCGTGATGAACAAATACTTAATAAAGATGAAAGGAAATTTGAGGTCAATCCAAGAAACATTTTAAAAGGTGATGATGTTAAGGAAGGAGGTTCTACTTCTCTCTCTTATGATCTTGGTCTTGATGAGGCTTCATATATTTCTTGGGTTAAAAAATTTGAGGAACTGTCTAAGTCAAGTTGCGACTCAATGATGGACTTGAGGAGCAAAAGAAACTTAGACGAGCAAAAGAGTCTAAAACTTGAGTCTGCAAGGAAGAAGGCAGAGGAAAAGAAGCTATCTAGGTGGAAAGCTCTTGGATATCAATCATTGAATGTAAAAGACACTCTCAGCCCAACAGACAATAACATCACATCAGCTATTGGGTCTGTTCATTTTCTGTATGGAGATTGTACAGCTCCATTAAATGTTTGTTCGTCTGAACCTGCTATGATTTTCAGGTGAACTTTTTTATTTGCCTCACTGCAGCTTTTTGCTCTGATGTCCAATGTTTCTGTTTGAGCTTTCTTTCAATTGGTAGCAGTCTCTATTGCTTGATATTTAAATATGTTTTATTAAAACTGTAGTTCTTGTTTGATTTGCTTGATTCTTCCCATTCTCAGGATTTTTGGAAGCATTTTTCAGATTCACTATTATTCAGCTTTATTGTATATAGTACTTTAGGATAGGATATGCCCTTTTTTCTCTGTATGATTTTTTTTCTTTATTTCCTTTATTAGGACAAGTAGTTAATGGCATCAGTCTATAATGTAAATATTGAGAAAGAGAAGGCAAGAGAACATTGGAGAGAATCAGTGCAAAAGGACTCTATAATCTTGTAACTTGAAATGTCTAATCCTAGGTTTAAAAGGATTTGTTGAGATCCTATAATGACTAATACCATAGATATGGCCAAGGTAAATAAAAGTTAGGCACACAATAAAGGTGTGCAACGTAGAGTAGAACTCTGCACTGGGGGAATTTACTTTGTGATGCAGATTGTACAGGGTGATTACATTAATCTTGCTGTTATAATACATAGTGACTATACCTAGTATTAACAGGCTATATATCTAGCTGTCATAATTTCAATTGTTGACTTCTGTATGCACTTTTATTTTAAATATCAATTAAGTATTCTAGAAGGTTTAGGTACTTAATAAGCTCAAGCACAGCTTATTCAGATCTGATCTTATTCCCTTATTTTCTTCCTATCTTATCCGAATATTTTGATTTTATTGTTAGGATGGTTAGGATCTCTCCTAGGTTGTGGTGCCCATAATATACTCTAATGTAATGATCAATCAATATAAGAAATATAATTTTCTTCTACTAAAATTACAAAAAGTTAAAGCCAAATTACAGGAAATAAATTAGTGTACCAAAAGAAAAAGAAAATATGGTAATAATTAAGATTAGAAGTATCACGTGCACCAACAATTATGATTCACTAATTGTTGTGTTAAAGAAGTCATTGATTTTAAAATTAACTGTAAATATTTAAACTGGTTGTATAGCTGCGTTGATACCTCTGGACATTGGGGCCGTGGTGGAATGTTTGACGCACTGTCCAAACTTTCTACAAGCGTCGGTGATGCATATGAACGGGCGTCTGAACATGGGGATCTGCATCTTGGTGATCTGCATCTTATAAGGCTTGATGGTGAGCAATCTAGTGATACAAAATAATTATGTTAAGTCTATATGGATAATTTATTTGGTAGTTTCAGTAAAGTAGTTCAGGCTTTGTTAATGAACTCTTGATCTCCAAAATAACTGATGCTGACTGCTGAACTTCCGTAAAATGTGTTTTTACATATTGTCGACTGGACTATTTTTGTATCCTCTGATATGTGGTGTTGGTCTTATATCTGTTACTACAACTGCATGATGAATTATGTGATAATGTTCTTTAAGTTAAAAAAAAAATGCAACAATAGCCAGTTTCCAAATTTGGTGTCTTTGGAGAATTGGCACGATTGACTGTGATTATCAGGTGAAAATTGCTTCTTCTTTTAGGTTCTCATCGGTGCACTATGCACTGTTTCCAACAAAAATTAGCTAGCTGGATTAGCTTATTTACTGTACAAAACAGATTATAGTAAATAATTTCTTAAGAGCTGTATGGTTGATGCCACTGTATTTCTTCCTTGGTAATTGCAGACGGTTGTGAAAAACAAGATATGGCTGGAAACACTCCCAAAATGGTTGCTTTAGCTGTGGTTCAGTCATATAATCCAAGGCGCAAAATCCCACGCAGTGAAATCTCACTTCCTGATTTGGAAAGCTGCTTATCAAAATCAGCATTCTCAGCCGCTCAGAATTCTGGTAACAAGCTTCCACATTTATTTAAATAATGTTTAATCTTCCATTTCCTTTTATAATGTATTATATTGTCGTTTCCCCCGCTTATTTTGTACGTGCACGGCTGTGAATTGTGCATGTGTAATATTAACGAGTTTTTTCTAAGCATAATGCTCCAAGTTAATATTGATGATTCATTTAATTACTGAAATTTTTTGCTACTACTGCAAAACCTTGATCTTGCATATTTACTATCATGTATTATGGAAAAACTGAAAAGGAAATTAGATCTGCGAATGTATCGAAGTGCAGCATCATCTCATTATTGTGAAGTAATCCTTGTCTCATTGTTGGGAAAAACTGTTTGGAAAACCCAATTGCTATAGGTTACGTAGTTCAGTTGAGACGGTGTACATGCAGTTCAATTTAAGTTGGAGGGGTGTTTACCTTTTACCCCTTTCACTGTTTGTGAATAGGAAATCATTTCTTGAGAAAAGTATTGAACAAAATATTTCAGACTATTAATACATTAAATAAATAGTTAAGATTCTTCGGACATCATTCAGCTATATATTCATTTTGATAATTACTTCAAGACAAAATCTATATATTTCAATTGTTACTGATACAAAATTCTTTTGATCATTCTGTAAAAGCATCAATACACATGCCACGAATTGGTTATCAAGATGGATCTGATCGTTCTGAGTGGTACACCATAGAAAGACTCATCAGAAAATATGCTTCCATTTACAACATCAATATATATGTGTAATGGTCTCACTCTCTACTCCATCCATGCTCACTCATTATAATGAGATTTATTTGAATATATATATATATAAACTACCATATAACATTTCTTCAATATTTTACAGATATTATTATCGAAGATCACGTTAAGGCTCTACTCTTTCTCACTTCGTAGACTAGGTATAGTTCTTTTGAGAAGACCGTTGAAGACGTGTTGTTGTAGTAAGTGGTTCTGTATGCATAAATGTATGTATATGATAAAAACAATTTAGACAGTTGAAACGAGTTTAGCTTCTTGCAAATCTTCTAAGCTTTTGGGCTAATACTCCTTCTAGACTCATATATAAGAAAAAAGAGTTATGTTTGGTAGACTTAGATATATGTATAAAAAAATTTCCTAAACCTTATTAAATGTTCTTATTTCAAAATTATCTTTATATTTTTGTACAATCATTATCAATAAATGAATTGTTTTAATTATTTATTTTTTAATACAATGATTAAAATAATCATTATTTTAAACATTAAATTACTAAAAAAATAATAGTGAGATTAATAGTAATTAAAGTCTCTCTTATATGTGTATTATCTCTTGTTATATATCAATGGACAAAAGTTTTGGAATCTGTATCAGAGATAGAGTTATAAGAATATATCAATGTACAAAACATGAATGATGTCTGGTAGGATTTCACCTACCATATATAGCTAATTACCAAATTCAGTTCAATAGCTTAACGGTTGTTGATGATTTTTATTATATCAAAGCCCCCTCTAACCCTATTCTTGTCTTCAAGGATTGAACATAGGATATTTCTTCTTGAGGTCATAGTAGAACTCCTAAGTAAGCATCTTCTAGAAGTTAATGCTTCCATTTAACTAGAACTTTAGTCACTAATGCCTTTTTTCTCGTGATAGTTGTCTTATCCAAGATGTCTTTTGGCTGTTTCTCTTCAAACGCATCTTTAGCTTGGTATGACAGGTGTGTAGAAGTCAATGCAACTCAACGTGCTTCTTAAGCTAAGAAATGTGGAAGATTTTGTGAACCTTGGAATGCCCAGGAAGATCCTATTTATAAGCCACAACCCTAACACAATCTGTGATAGTGTATGGTCCAAAGTACTTAGGACTTAAATTTGCATTTCTTTGTGTAAGTCGTTGATATTTGCCTATGAGGATGCAATTTAACATACTAGATCCCCATTTCATTGATAATTGTTTCATCCTTATCTTGGCTCTTCTTGAGTAGAACATGATTACTTTTAACATTTCTTCTCTCTTTCTTAAATTCCTGTCCACTAATTCCACCTTGAATTCCCTTCGAAGGTAAGGAAGATGGATAGGGGCTTGCTTTCATAAGGAGTAGCTCTAGTTCTTGTGTGGTATATAGTGTTATACTACCATTCAACTATAGATAACTGTTAAGGTTCCAACATAAAACCAATTGGTAATATGTGAAGTAGCCTAACATGTATTTAAATCATACCAAATAACATGAGGTAGACGATGTGGAACTTCCAACACACCCCCTCCAACGAAGCCTGCCGGACCAGGCAAAGAGTACTTTTGACCCAACTAAATGACAACTTTTTGGCCCATGACAATAACCAGAAAGATGTTAGGCTTTGGCTCTGATACCATGTTAAGATTCCAATATAAAACCAATTGGCAATATGTGAAGTAGCCTAACATGTATTTAAACCATACCAAATGACATGAGGTAGGCGATGTGGGACTTCCAACAATAACCATCTAGACCAATTTTGTGGTATATCTGTACATATATATCTAATATAAGTTTCTAAGCACCTATTCACTATTTTCGATTGTACAACCGTTTTGTGGAGGATAATTAGTTGAGAGATGAATTTGAACCCCATGAAAAATCATAAAACCTTGCCAAAATTGACTGACAAATATAGGATCCTTGTCACTAGTAATGGAGTTTGGGCACCCATGCAACTTAAATACTTTATCAATGAATGCCTGAACTACATCTCTCACAGTATAAGGATGTGTCAATATTGTGAAGTGGACAACTTTACTCAATCTATCTACCACCACAAAAATGACTTATTTCCCATATGAATTACCACATACTCATAATGTCCTCCATGTGTTCTAAAAACCATTTTATGTACATCTGTTAAGTCCATTCTAACTTGATTATAACCAGATCTTAGATCATGTAGGTTTACTCGAAGAATATGTAGAAATAGGAAACCTTTTGGAAGAAAAGGTTTCAAAATCTGTGTTAGAGAAAGAGTTACAAGAATATGTCAATGTACAAAAAAGGAATGATCTCTGATTAGGATTTCCCCTGCCATATATAGCTAACTACTAACAACTAATTCAATTCAAAAGCTTAACCCATGGTAATTATTGATAGATATGTTTACATCGGTAAAGTATGGTAAATTATGTGTTTTTAGTGATATTTTTTGTTGAATTATTCCTAGGTAATTATAGAGGTTCTATTCGTCGATAATTACCAATGAATATATCTATTGATAATTATTATCGTAACGTTTATCAATAGATTTATTTCTCAGTAACATCCAGTAGTCATTTTCTTCCTATGTTCAACAACCATTTTGTAATGTGCCTCTACTTTATAACCTTTGCAACATTATAACTCTAATTCAACTCCAATTCAGCAGGACTTGTATAATATGCATAATCTCTATTACATTCATATAAATAGTCCAATTTAACCATTGTTTAATGAAAAACTAACTATAATTAATCACAGTTCAATTTATATCCAATTGAAATTATTCATAATCAAATATAATATCTAATTATGGAAATAAAGTACAATAAGATGAACAATGACAATCATATAATTCCTAGAAAGAGGCCTAAAGAAACAAGTTAAACTCAAATATTATTATATAATTGTTTGTACAATCATCTAATAGTAGGAATAGTAAGGAGAATGTTATTTTAATATGTTGTCTTCTTATTATGGGTTATATTATTGTTTTTTGTTCTCTTGTTGTGTATGTTGTTATTGATTGTTTGATTGGTTGTTCTGGGGTTGTTGAATGAGAGAGTGTGCAACGGGAGGTAGGAATTTAATGACTACACTGTTAAGGGATTAACACCTCTAAAATTAGTGCTCTAGTAACTCATTATGCTCCTTTACTCAACGATTTTCTTCTTATCTAGATAATCATTGTCTCATCTGATTCATCTTTTCTAAATCAATTGAAGAGTTTGATGCTTGAGTTTGTTACTTGAGGCTATCATACCTATCTTAGTAACCATGAACAAACTCTCTAGTCTCATATAGTCTTTCTTTATTTTTCTACTAACTGTTTTTACCCAACAATGGGACCTAATTGTGTATAGTTCCTAGGAGTAGACTCAACTTCGCTAAGACAATATCCAGTAGACCTACCTTGTGAAAGTCTAATTTAAAATTTCTCCTATTAATACTAATAAAGAAATTATTAACATTATTAGTCTTACATATCATAATAAACAAAGTTACAAATGAATAAATTCGCGTGTATTTTCCTAGATTTTTCATTAATACACTTACCTGTATTATTTCTTATATGGGTTTGTCAGAAGATCTCATTAACAAAAACTTATCTTTCTAGCTTCTTTGTCTACATCACATTGCCAAAATAAGAGGTATGCAACCCGGTTGACATTATAAAAATCTTAAATATATTATTAAAAGACTTAGCATACATATGTTATGTTCATGAATGTAGATGGAGTCACATATATGGAGGCTCTCACACTTTTCACATGTCTTATTTTTCTAGGTTTGCACATATTTAGAGTGATACATAGGTAACTGTTGAAAATCCCACATCGCCTACCTCATATCATTTAGTATGGTTTAAATACATGTTAGGCTACTCCACATATTGCCAATTGGTTTTATGTTGGAACCTTGACATGGTATCAGAGCCAAAGTCTAACATCTTTCCGGTTATTGTCATGGGCCAAAAGTTGCCCTTTAGTTGGGTCAAAAGTATCCTTTGCCTGGTCCGGCAGGCTTCGTTGGAGGGTGTGTGTTGAAAATCCCACATCACCTACCTCATATCATTTAGTATGGTTTAAATACATGTTAGACTACTCCACATATTGTCAATTGGTTTTATGTTGGAACCTTGACAGTAACTTCAATGTGTTAACAACCTTTTTCCAAATGTGCTCTCCAATCCAATTTAGTCTTTAGCTATAATTCTTGCATCTCTAATATCTCACAGATGTTTTGTAATGAAAATCCTTCTTTATTTGATTTTCATGCTTTGCTCAACTTTCATATGTACAAGTAGAAATTGTTATACAGATTATGGGAAAATAATAAAAACATAGATTCAGTAAGTATAAATATATGTACATTAATTAAAGTCAATAATAGCATTATACTTAAAATGATAATTAAGTATGTACACAAGTATATGTTATCTTAAAAAATTGAAAAAAAAAAGACTCATCACTATCAAGTATCACTTCTCATGTAGTTTAAGGTTCAAGAAATTATTGTTTAATTAGTGCATTATATTGTCATGAGTGTGAATGAATGATTTGAATAATCTCTTTCCACTAGTTCACAAAAAATTAAAAAACTATCAAATTCAATTTAAGATAAGTTCTCGTACAATAAAAT